GTAGGAAATAATGCAGCAATTGATTAGTGATGTCTGTCCTGGGTGCAGCAGTGGTGAATTTTGGAGTCCCATCACTTTTCCTCCTGGCCCTCAATTCCTTCCTTTTATTGACAGCTGAGTCTCTGCAGAGGTAACTGTTACCATGAGCAGAGCAGAAAACAGTAGCATCTGGTCTGCTATAGTTTGGATCCTGAATGTCCCCCAAAGGCCCTTCTATGGAAGGCTTGGTCTCCAGCCCAGGACACTCTTGGGAGATGGTGGAACCTTTAAGAGACAGGGCCTAGTGGGAGGAAGTTAGCTCACAGAGGATGTGCCCTTGAAAAGGATACTGAGATTCCAGTTGCCTCCTCTATCCTTTCCTGGTTTCCATGAGGAGGACAGGCCTCCCTTGCCACATATTCTCTGCCATATGTTCTGCCTCACCATACACCCAAAGCAAAGGGGTCAAGTGACTGTGGACTGAAACCTCTGAAACCATGTAACAAACTAAACCTTTCCTCCTGGTAAGTTGATTACGTCAGGTATTTTGTCACAGTGACGGAAAGCGAACACATGGTCCAAAGCCCCAAGTTCATCTCCAGAGTTCCCACTCCTTTATACTTTCCCCTCTCAGTCACTAAAGACCTATGTAATACTAAGGCATGCAGAGAGAAGCTAGCCCAAAGGACAAGACTTTCAAGTTTCTTGGGCATCTTTTCAGAGCCTGACACCAGTCTAGAATCTCCTTGTGACACACCAAATGTGAGCATCAAACCACATTACTGTATCCACTTTACAGATAAGCAAATTGAGGTTTCTAGAAGTGAAATAGATTGCCCCAGATTGCACAGTGAGTAAGGGTTAGTGCCAGGCTGCGCCAGATCCGGGCATTGTCCACTCTATCGGCAATAACTGAGGGAGACCCAAGGTGCCCAGGGGCCCAGCCAGGCAACTCCTACCAGCCTGTGGGAGGCCACCATGAGCTCGGCAGAGTCAAGCCTGTTTGACTGCTCCACGGGCCATGGGATGCCACCTTCCCCTTCTTCAATTTGCTGGGCTCCAGGCCCAGTCTCCCCTGGAGTCCCAAAGTCCCTCCTTCCCTAGATCTGTCCCCGGAGACCAGCAGGAGGCATGCTGCCCCACCTCATGGGGAGTCCCACAGAGCTGCCATCTGCTGGGTGACGAAGAGGCTGTGAAGCACTTGTTCTTGGAGCCTGGGTCCCCAGGGGTCCTGGGCTGCCCTACCCAGTGGGGCCAGATGGAGAAGGTTCCCCAACCTCCAGTCTCCTGAGGAGCGAGGCTGATGCTTCTCTTCACTCAGGGCTCAAGACAGGTCTCTGAAGCTTGGAAAGTGGCTCAGAAAGCTGGAACTTGATGGCAGGGGACCCGACTGCCCTCTCACAGCCACGGCCCCAAAGCCTGGGGGCTTCCCTGCCCAGGGCTCCCTGCCTCCCCCTGTCTGGTCCTTGTCTCCTTTCTCTGCCTCAGTCTTCTCATCCTCCCAGTGTTGGGACAAGGAGGGCTGTTGTTCCCCTCTCTCAGAGGGCCAAGGGGAACTGAAAGCCTGGAGGAGAGGTGGAAAGGGGCTGGTGTGCAGGCCCAGCCTGGATTGCCTGCTGCCTGCCCAACCCCCCAGGCCAACGGTGATCCCACCTCCCCAGTGCCTGCAGGATCAGCACCTGCAGGATCAGTGCCGTAGGTGGGATGGCACTCCTCATCCTGCCACCCTCCCCCATGCACCTGCCAGGGAACTTTTGGTCTTATTTTTTTTCTTCTGGGGACTTGTCCGGTTGCCCTTCTAAACATTGCAGGGATTAGGGGTGGAGGAACCAAACAGGAACAAACCAGCTCCTACCCTAAGTTTTCCAGACCTGGCAAGATCAGTGAGTGAGCTAGGAGGGTTACGCAGTTCTCTGTTTCCAAATGCACAGAGCAACCCTGGAGGTGTTAAAAAGAAGGAATGGGGACTGGGGTTGTGGCTCAGTGGTAGCRTGCTTGCCTAGCAAGCATGAGGCACTGGGTTCGATTCTCAGCACCACATACAAATAAATAAAATAAAGGTCCATCAACAACTAAAAAATATTAAAAATAAAAAAAAGAAGGAATGTGTGGCCCTGTCAGGGTCCCTCCTGGGACCTCTGGGTTTCTTCCTGAGCGTTTCTGAGCCTGGTGTTTTTAGGGGTGGGGGACACTTGTGGTCCTGTGTCCCTTCCAGGACCCATGTGAAGACCTTGCTCAGTTGTTCAATCGACATTTGCTGAGCCCCCGCTACCTGCCAGGCACTGAGCACAGCGCTACGGTTGAGCCAGGGAACACAGCAGGCATGGTCTCTGTTTTCTGGAAGCTTCTCTTCTACGGGCAGCATGCACAAGCTAGCAAGCACCCAGGCTGGTTAATAAGTGAGAATTTCTAGATGGATCTGAAGAGGGGGCGAAAGCGGGGATGACGTCAGATAATGATCTGTTGACCCCAAGAGGAGCTTAGAGGGTCCCCTTGAGGAGCTGGCACTAGTGGGTGTCTGCACAGGAGGGAGACTGAGGGTCACCCAGATTTCTGGCCTTTGAGGGCCTGGGTGGGTGGTGATGCCCAGATCCAAACAGCAAAATCAAGCAAAGCTGGCTTCAAGGGGAAGACCAGGGGTTCCACTGGGGACAGGCTGGATCTGAGGGGACAGTGGGGACTGACCAGGGGAGATAGGCAGGAGAAAGCAGAGGAAGACATTGAGGTGGGACAGAACTTGGAAAGTGACCAGTCCACTGACTGCAGCTGGAAGCAGAGTGAGGTCTTCAAGCAGAAGGAGGAGGGCAGGGGCTGGGTGGGAGCCGTGGGGCCCAGCACCCTGGGGGAGTGGCAGGAAGAATCCCCCTCCCCCACTGCCAAAGGAGACCACAGACGGTGGCCAGATGATCAGAACAGCTGGAAGAAACCGGAAGGCCCCCCAGACAGGGAACCCAAGGAAAGCCCAGCAGCCAACAGGGTCGGGTGCAACCGAGACCAGAAACCACGGGTCAGACTTGGCAAAGCCGAGGTTGGTGGGGGATGGCCCCGGGTGTGGACTCCAAGCGGAAGCAGATTGGGGGTGCTGAGAAGGATGGGGGAGGAGGGGCTTTTTAGATGAGTTTGGAGAAAAGGGAAGGAATAGGACTGGACATTGTGAGATGAGGAAGCTCCCCGGAGCCCCATGGCAGACCCGGCTCCTGGAACCCAGAGGGTTGGGGGACTCCTCCATCTCAGAGATGAGCCCGAATAGCCTGGGGGTAGATTCAGGAGCTACAGCTCCCACCTGCAGCAACTCATCTAGATGTTTGGTTATACATTTATTCATCCAACACACAAATATTGAGTGCCTACTGCATGCCAGGTCATTAGACCTGCCAGAGTGGGGGCTGAGAGAGGAGAGATTCAGAGATATGCAGGTACCACTTCTGAATGGCCCAGAGTAGTGGTGACCACACCCTGGAGTCCTGAGGAGGCGAATGGGCAGAGGTGTCCTGCATGGGTGGCTTCTATTATATAGATGGACCAGGCTCCCCAGGGCCTGGGATCAACCCCAGAAGGTCCTGGAAAGCCCTCCACACTCGGCGTCCTCAGCCTTCTCTATGCCTGGCCGCTGTCTCACCAGCAGGAAGAGGCGAGACRCTGCAGGGCAGGTGTCTCTGGTCTCCTCGGTGCTGCTGAACAGCAGCTTTGTCACCTGGCCTGGGATTTGGGCTTTCATTTCCTGATTGTGCCACAGCAGTAGTGATAACAACGGACTGAGCCTGTACTGCCCCCCAGAAATCATCTCAGCAGCTCTTGACCCGCAACCTCCTTGGGTACCCACAGTGGCCAGCGGCCAGGCTGAGCTCCCCCACCAGCAGGACACACTCTGGACCATGAACAGCCGGCTGACTCCTCCTGCACACGAGGTGAGGGTCCCACTGAGATGGGATCTGCAGCTTCCCCTGCCTCCGGGTGCAGCAGGCCCCTGATGTTCCGAGATTTAACAACTGGACTTAGACTGGAAGAGATGCTGCCACCCCACGACTCAGGACAGGTGACAAGTGTTAGAAATCTAAACAGACGTTAGCAAGGGGGCAAGGTGTCTACCAGACACCTTGGACCAGGAGTGGGGACATGACAGCTGAGGCTGGGGTGGGGTTCCCTGATTTCACCCAGACTCACAGTCCTGACTTATCCAGGAGAAGAGATGGGGCCATTATGAATGYCCCCCCAAATTATAAGGGAGCACAGGGGACATAATGGGAGAAAGCAGGTGACTGCCATGGGAGGAGCAGGTGGCACGAGTCTTTAAAGCAGAGCTGGTGGGGACTAGGGCAGGGCTGTGCTGCTTTCTCAGACCCCTGGAGTCACCTGGCTGAGTTTGTCACCTGGACTTGTGGGCACCAGGAAGCCRTGAGAAGATGATTCCCCACCCTGTCTCCCTTAGGGACCCCTTTATTATATACATATATATAATATTATATATAAACGTATCTGACTTCAGTATGGAGAGGCTCCCTGGTGGGGCCTGGGATAGAGTTCTTTAGGACAGTCTGTCCCGGGGAGTGTGATCTGTGGGACCCCAATCCTACAGAACAGTCTTGTGGCACTGAAGTTTGGGGAGCGCAGGGGGCTGTTTCCCGCGGGAGTCTCACAACACATTAAAGGCTCTGAAAAGTCCTGCAGCAACAGAACGTCCTTAGCGTGTCTCCCGTAAGACTTCCTGCACATATTTGGTGTGTGTGTGTGTGTGTGTGTGTGTGTGTGTGTGTGTGTGAGATCCCATGAACATGCCTCCAATCCACATTTGGGGATGGGCTGACCCAGAAGAATGGGATTTCCAGTTTTGAAGGAGGATCCAGCAGAAGTCAGGGGTCTTCGGCTCCCCTCCCCCGACCCGTCTGCCACACTAGCCCCTGCTCAGACCCCTGCAGTTCTTTGGCCAAACGTCCCAGGGCCATTCTCTGTGACCCCAACTCCGAGCTCTGCCGTCTCTGGGCCCCCAGTGGGGGTGGCGGAGGATGCCGGGGAGGACTTACAGGGGCAGGGGCGTTTGAAGGACATGGAATCCTTGGAGCAGAACAGCGGAGCCAGCCTGCCCACGGGCACAGCGCTGACTTCTGGCAGGGAAGGCCCCTCCACTCACCTGCGGAGACAYAAACAGGCAGGTGATAGGGACGGCCACAGGGTGCACACCGCCCCTGCCGGCCAGGCGCTCAAGTGCCCTGAGCTGCCCGCCTCTGGGGGAGAGGAGGGTGACCTTGGGGACAGGTGCTCAGTCTGGGACCCCTGAGCTACAAAGCGTAGGGTGCAGTGGGCAGGTTTGGGGGAGGGGATATTTCTCTGGGACGGATCCTGGAGAGGGAGTTGGAGATGCTGTGGGGTTCCTGTCTCACAGACACAGGGGGTCCCACCGCTCTGGACACCTTCAGTGTGCCACGGTAGCACAAGTGGCTTATAACCGTGGGGGCAGAAGATCCCACAAAGACCAGCCTCATGTCCTCATTTCATAGCGGGAAAGAGACCTGTAGAGGGTGAGGGGCGACTGCAAGGTCACAGAGGGTTTTGGAAGGGTGTTCCCTGAGACTCCTGCCAAACCATGTKATTATCCCTGCCCCCACAACTTTAAGAGGAGGATGCTTTTTTTCCCTCTTCATTTTATAAAAAAAGGAAGTTGAGGCTCAGAGAGACCATGTAATTTGCCCAAGATCACACAGCCTCCAACCACATGCCAAGACTAGAGTCCAGATTTCTTTGATTCCAAAGGCCAGGGTCAGTCAGACTCCCTTGCAAACTCCTTTAGAAGGTGCCTAATATATTAAAAACTACTGATTCAGAAAGAAAGGCCTCTGGAAGGTAAAGGCCTTTTCCCTGCCCCTYCCCCCGTATGGACTCAGTGTGATGCCCAGACGCGTGGGACAGCCAGGCAGTGCCACGTCCCTGTAAACCCTATTTGCAATAGAGGAAACATTTTCCAGTATTGAGTGCCTACTGCACTCCATTCCAAAAATAACCCATCCTCCCAGGCTGCTAAAAATCCCAACGGGTTCACTCTCTTGGTGGGTGCCCAAGAGACACGAGGGACCAGGAGGAGACAGGGTTCTGGTCTCTTAGGCTTTCCTCGTTTCCTGGGGCTCTCACTTGGCTCGCAGAAACCAAACTGCACCTTTGGGATGCTGGGCCCAGCGGGTTCCCGAAAGGGAGACAGCTGTCCCCTCCAGGTCTCCCGAGGCCACCACCTTCCCTGAATTTGGGGATGACATCATGGCACACAGTGCTTTTCTGCAAGAAGCAGGTCCAGAATTTCCCACCCTGTCTCCCTTAGGGACCCCTTTATTATATACATGTTTCCCTCCAAGGGGTCCCATGTTTTGATGGAGCCCATGAACCCAGCATTGCTGAATGGGTTTTTCTATTTAATAAAGGAACTGGGGAGCTCTCTTTGGGGAATCTTTCTCAGAAGTCAGATCCAACGCGGCCACTACTTGGCAGCGTGGCTTTGGGCAAAACGCTTCACCTCCCTGAGCTTCGCATCCTTATAGGTAGAGCAGGAACAACTGCTGGTGACTCGCTTCTGGAGGTGGGTGTGGAAAGCCCTGATGTTCTTACTGCTCTTGGGGGGGCTGGGGGGCTGGGAGGCAGCCGACCTGGGAACCCCACGCTCCAGGAGGCTCCGTGCAGCCTCTCCTGACTCTAATCAGGTTCCCTAGTGGGAACCATGGGCTGGCCTGACACCCCCCACCCCCTGCCCTCAGTCTCCATAGAAACCCAGGGGCGTCTGACCTGGGGAAGGGAGGGTAGGAGGGGATCTCCCCAGGCCTGCTAGGGATGACTGATCGGGGGGACTGTGATTTAAGGTTCAAGAAGAATCTTGGGGCCTGTGAGCCTCACTTTCTAAAAATACACGCAGACTCCTGTGTCTGCATTCACGATTGTGGGTGTGCTTGTGTGAACTGTGGCTGCGTGTGCATGTGCACGTGTGTGTGTGTGTGTCCAGGGAGGGAGACGTAAGTGGGCTGACAGTTCGTCTCCCCTGCTGCTTGCAGAGTTTTCTCTCTTAAAGGCGGAGTGGGTCACTCCCTTGCTAAAAACCCTCCATCATTTGCCAGAGCCTTCAGGAAAATATCCTGAACTTTTTATCAGAACCCTGGGTGCTCCCTACCTCTCTAGTGAACTGGTATAGTATAGGTGCTTAATAAATGCAGGCTGAATGTGTTTCTTCCAGAGCTGCTCATGGTGGCACTTGGTGCTATGCGTATAATTTTCCTTGGTCAGTTTGGGTATTTGGAAGACAACTGGGCATTTGGAGGACAATCTCTGTATTCTTAAGAGGCTCGAGAGACTGGCGAGGGGCCAGCTGGTTTGCCACTATTMAAGTAGACATCCTCTTTTGAGGAGGCTTCCCGGGCAGCTGGGCCTTCAAGTGTGGCTCACATGAACCAAACACTTACACGTGCCAGGTAATGTCATCAATGTCATTGCAACCCACCCTCTGGGGGAGGGGGAATATCACGTCCATTTCACAGATGAGAAAACCGAGGCTTAGGGTAGTAACCTGCACAAGGTCACAGTAAAGAGTTGGAGGAAGAGCTGGGTGGGGAGAAACTCTGTCACCCCCAGTGCCACTTACTTAATACCAGGGACACCCCACAGAGATCTGTTGCCTCTGGCGCTCTGGCTGGCCCRCTTCCTGGACACAATAGGCTTCTCGTATTTTCAGGCCCTTCCCTGTCCCCAGCACACCATCCCTTCCCTCCACCTGGCACACTCCTACAGAGCGGTCRACACCCAGATCGAGAGCTCTCTCCCTGAGGTCCTCCTTGTCTGCTGGAGACAGAACWGTCATACAGAACTGGCTGTGCTTCCGCAGCACCTGGACATCTTTCCAGGCCAACTCGAGTSCTAAATGATTCTAGACAAGCAGCTCCTCAGGGACACGGAGGGGTCAGGGTCACCTCTGAGGCTGGGCATTGAGGGGACTTTGACAAGCACTTGGAATTGCTGGAATAAGACAACCCTGGCCCCATGCTAAGGCGTGGCGTGTGTGGAGACTGCCTTCCAGCGGTGCTCAGCCCCTGTAAAGAGCTGAGATTCTCCCCAGACACCTTGCCACCCCTGGTGACAGCAATGCCCCCAACAGTCAGGGCCACCATTCCTTGAACCATCGCGTGGCACAGTCCACACCTCACACACTGCCTCTGCTTGCAGTTTCCCTGCACCCCGCTGGCTCGTGTCACTGATGAGCCCAGAGGACAGGTCTGGCACAGACAGGCTGAGGCTGAAGTTGCTGGGGGTGTGGAGGAGTGGGGTCCCCCCCAGCWGCCGGGACAGAGCATGGGCCCCCACACGAGGTCACTTCTCCCCTGTCAGCCTCTCTCTGGCACAGGCTCAGGCTCGTTCCTGCCGCTGGTGACTCATCTCAGACTGGATTGTCTGGCTGGGAACATGGGGGTGGGCGGGAGGCACTCCAGGCTTTGAAGTGGCTGAATGGTGTGTGGCAAGTCCACGTCCTTTGAGCTCTCCTTCACGTCCCCACTCCTGGAATACTTCTACTCTAGGCCCTGTGGGGACACTCCGACTTGGGCAGGGGAATGTGTGGTTAAGGGAACAGACCCTGGGTCTGCAGAGGGCCTCATGCCAGRGGCCATRGAGGACCAGCAAGGGCTGAGGGAGYGGCTGGCCTGGTGAACAAGGCTGAGGGATGTCCTCCCTGTGGACACAGCATSTCCGACTGCTGTCACATGCCGTCAGCTCACTGGAACTTCAAAACAAATCCCCATTTCATAGAGGACAACACTGAGATGCAGAAGAATAAAGGGGCCAGGTGGGGTGGTGGTGAACTCTGCCCCGCAGGGGCTCCTGGGGGATTTTACGCAGGTAGCATCCGGATGGGCTTTCACCCCTCCAGGAAAGCCTCCCTGTGTGCCTGGGGGGGGGTGGCACCAGGTGTGGGCAGCAGGCGGCAGGGAAGCCTGGTGGGCTGGGCAGTGATAATAGGAGGGGGAGGGCCGAGGTTGCTGGATCCAATGTCCTTAAAGGTCCCTGGGTACCAGGTTTGGGGTGCTGGGGATAGAGTAGTGGGCTAAACTTTGGTGGTCCCTGTCCTCACAGAGTCTTCCTGCTACAAGTGGAGACACCATGACAGGTGGAGCTCATTAGACGGCAGCAGGGGAAGGAAGTGCCGTKGGAGATGCACTTAGATATAGTAGCCCTAGAGGCTGGGGGGGTGGGCGACAAGTCAGCAGAAATCAGAGGAAGTCAGCCATCTGGGTGGATACCTGGGACAGAGATTCCAGGTGGAGTGCCAAGGCCCTGTGCAGGCGAGTGCTGGGTGGGCTGGAGGGACAGATGGACTCCAGGGAGAGGGGGAGACGGGGAGGAGGTGAGGGTGATTCTGTGACTGTGGATGGTGGAGATGGCAGAGATGGAGACCGAAGGTCTAGATGGCCCACACCACCACTGCATCCCTGGCACCTCGCTTGGCACACAGGAAGTGCTCAGTGACTCTTTGCTGAGGGAATGAATGAATGATGTGATCTCACAGGAGTTCCATGGGTCTGTGGGTGGGCATGTGATTGTCCAGGGCCAGTAGAAAGTCAGAAGTTCCAGGGACTTTGACCAGACACACTAATTTTGAAAGAACTGCATTCACTGCACCCGGGCAGGGGCTAACTCCTGGGGCTACAGGCCAGGGCCCCGAGCAGTGGGATCCTTTCTCCTGTCCTAGGAAGCTCTTTACGTTCTTTTCTAATATTAGAAGAGCATTCCCTGGCAAGTGTGGGTGAATCCTGCAATGTGTGTCCTGTGACTGAACGCAGGAGGGAGTGAATTCAGGAGGAGGGTACAAAAAGAGGGTACAAAAAGGATGCCCTGAAGTTTGTCAACAGGTAACTTGGTCCTGATGTTAGAAAAGGGATCCAGGTGTGTGAGAGTCTCTGCAGCAAGGAGACCTTCTGTTTCCATGCACCATCTGGCCACAAATGTGCACCACTGGATGGCTGAGAAGTTACTGGGTCTCCATGTTGCTTTCATTTAGCTTGAGTAGCCAGGAGAGTGCAGGGTGGGCTTGCGGGGCAGATGGATTCCAGGGAGAGTGGGAGAAGGGGAAGAGGTGAGAGCGATTCTGTGACTGGTGGATGGTGGAGATGGTAGAGATGGAGACTGCAGGTCTAAATGGCCCACACCATCACTGCATCCCTGCCACCCAATTTCCTACCATCACTGTGGCCCAAACCGAAGGCTTGGTTGCCTATCTATACCCATCAACCTGCCCGACTGCAAGCTGGAAGTAGGTCCTGTCATCAAGGGTTTAGAGAAATCTGATTCAGGGCTCAGACACACCCAAAGAGACACACATAAGAGTTCATAGCATTGAAATATGAGAGGGAACCCCCCAATGTGTGCCCACCAATAAGAGAGGGCAGACGGAGCAAATGATGGCACCCATTTATAATGGAATATTATATAGCCATGAGATCATGTTTTTCAAGATTTTTAATAACATAAAGACTTTCAGTATAATTCTAAAAGGAAAARAAAAGCCCAGGATATTTAAAAAACAGATTATAGAACTGTGCACACAGCATGATCCTTACTTTGTGAAAGAAAAATCCCTAGAGAATATATTCATACATTGCAAAAGATTAGAAAGGAAATAGAATATACTATCCACAGTTACTGTGCTCTCTGTGTGGTGGTGAGATTAAGGAGGATTTTTATGTTCTTTATATTTTTATAATATTCCCAGTTTTCTATAGTGAACACGTATTACTTTTATAGTCTAAAAGATCATTAAAATGAAGATTTGGGATAAAATCTTTTGTGCTAACAAAGTAAAAGGTAATGAAGTGATTAAGTCAGTGWTAGTTAACTCACTGAAAAATTTAAATGCCTTGGAACTTATCATTTGTTACTGAAGAGATTTTTAAAGTGAACTTGACTTCAAATTTAATGATAAGCAGTTTTGTTAAAATATTAGAAAAAAACAGTCTGCATCATTTTTAAACTTAAGCGACCCCCAGTCCTTGAACAAGTCATATTTGCCAARGATTTGAGAGAATGGTTTCTTCCATAAACTGTAATGTTTTGTTTCCAATAGATCTGTATGCTTGGCAAAAATAATAACAATAACAGACTTTGTGTTTATAAGATACTTTATAATTTGCAAAGCACATCAAATGCTAACTATCATTCATTCTAGGCTCTGGGGACATCATAGTGAACAAGATGATCATAGGTCCCTGCTTATGTGTTATTAGCAAAACAAGACAACAAATATATGAGTAGATCTATACATATTAGGGATGTTGAGGGCTATGYAGAGAAGAGGTAGAATAAATGGAGATTGTTCTTTAATTTGATCAAATCAATTTGATTGTTGCTTGAATAAAAAAAAAATGATGTCTCTACAAATTCTATAGCCCCGTGGACAAGGAATATATTCKTCTTCAGTTTCCAGACATAAAACTGCTGACGATCTCCACGGAGGCATCATCTCAGTAACTAATTACATGTCCTCAAAGTTACGTGTGTTAATTTTCAATTTTAAGAACTCGTATAAAATTATGATGAGTCACAGTGAAGCGTGAGTATTCTGCATTTAGCTAGAGCTAGATGGCCCTTAACCTTTCCAACCTCRGGGTTCTCTCTGACAGAATGGGGACAGCTAGAGGACCCCGGGATTCCTGTGGACTCCCTTCCCTACCCCCACCGCATCAAAGAACTGTTGTCAGAATTCAATGAGTAAATGTTTATGTTTAGGAAACAGTGTGTGCCCGATGAGTGTTCACAATGGAGACGGGGCAGGGCCACTGGCAGAGGGCCAATGGACATTTTGACAAGCTTCCAATGCATTATTTCTTCAGTCCTCACAGTTATCCTGGGAGACTGTGTAAGACTTAGCCTCCATTTCGATGGCACTGAGGCTCTGAAAAGTTAAGTCACCATCCAGAATCACAAGCTGTAAACCCGGACAGTCCAGCTCCAAATAGCTGGGCTCTGGGCCACAACTCTGCCTTGTGATCACTGGCTGAGGGGCTCCTGAAGCCCTCCTGGCCTCAGTTTCTCCTTTAGGGGGCTGAGCAGACTTTTTGCTGTCCGCCCCTCACTCTGTGCTCAGGGTACTTCCACGGTAAGAGCTTCAGGTAACAGTCCTCTAAGGGTGTCCTGCGAACTATTCCAGACAGACGATCACACCCCTAGCCCTTATCATGTTCCCTATCAGCTGTGTTCCAAATACTGTGTGCACCAGGAGACACAAACCTAATTAGCTTCTAATTAACTCCTTTGGGAAGATGGGGAGTGAGGATTATGGAAGATGCAGAGATGTGGCACCCTAATGGGGAAGGGGGTGGGCCACAGAGGAAGAACAGGAGAGAGGAGTCTGTGCAGAAGGAGTGCTGAGAAGGCAGCCATTCTGTGGGTCTCACCAGGTCCCTTCCTGGCAGCAAGTGAGCATGTTTCCTAACCTGAAATCACTCTCCACCCCTGTTCTGGGCAGCCAGGCCATAGGTGGCCAGGGACCAATATGGGTGTCCACACACTGGACTTCTACTTTCTTTACATCAATGCTCCTGATAACCTACACCCTCCATGTCACCCCAAGGACCCTAGAATCTTCCTTAAGCCCTGGACATCTGTCTACTCTACTTTGGGTCAGAGGTACCAGTTGCAAGACTGGGGCAGATCCCTTCCTGGGGACCATCCTACTCTGAATCTTAACCTCTCCTTCAGTCCCTGGGTCCATTTCTTTCCTCATCATTTCTGGGAGCCTCAGGACCTAGTCAACTGGAGGAAGACATCATAGTCAAAAAGAGTAAAGGCCAGCACCCCTCAGCTCTCCTGGGTGGGTCTCCCTACCTGGGGGGCTCCTCTCCCTGTTACTTCCTGCGTCTGACTGAATCATCATCAATGGCAAATCCAAAAGCCATCTGACAGCCAGACCGCTATCCAGGGAAAGCAATCTCCCCTGTGCCCCTAATTCTGGAGTGGAGGGAGGTGTGTAAATTCCCTTATACAGAATATGAGCAATATGTGGGGCCCCTCTGCCTGGAACAGCAGACATCAGCCTAAGACAAAGAGGGAAAAGTACCTCTAATGGTCAGGTGAGCCTTTTCCAACCTGGAGGGGGATGGTAGGCAGGAAGGGGAGAGCTGGTCTGGGCAGAGAGCCCTAAGGGAGTGCCTGAGAAAGTGTGAGTCTAAGGAAAAAGTTTTGCTTTGCAATAACATGCTAACAGACCTTAGGGGATTCAAAATCGGAGAGGTGGGGGTTAAAGTGCTCATCATTTCAGGGATATTCACTTTGTCTCAGCATCTACTGGTGCTGGGCATCTCATAAAATGATACCTGTAGCCAAATGCAATTGGGTATTAGCTGTGTGGCATACACCCCTGGGAATTATCTTATTTAATCCTCCCAATTCACTGTCCCCCAATTTCAGGTGGGGAAACTGAGGCTCAGAGAGGTTAAGTGTCTTGCTTAAGGTCATACAGCTAGTAAGTCACCTAGACCTCCCTCTGGTTCCAAAGCCTTTAAATACCTTGCTCATAATAGAATCCTGCCTACTTTTCAGAGGAGGAAATTGAGGCACAGGGTGGTGAATTCACTGGTTCCAGTTGGGATGTTTGAGGAGAGAGTCCAGAGGGGTATTCTCTTGGCAGGTGCCCTGGGACTACATGGATCAAGACCAGGACTCTGCTATTCAGGCCAAGCCCTTGGAGCCATTGCTTCTCGCACCTGTCACTTGGGACCTCCTCTTCCCCTTCTGGACCTGGCCACCTATGTTGGCGTCTTAGAAGACCAGGAGGGCAGCCTGGGTCCTCACTGCGCAGCCAGCCACCAGACCACAGAGCCCCAAGGAGAGAAAGAAGGCCGCGCGACTCAGCCGGGGGTGGGGTGGGCACTACAAGGTTTTGGAAGGCGACAGGAGAGGTGGCTGTGCCGCTCWGCACCACGCGGCCAGCGGATCTGCCTCCTGGGTCTCAGACTCCGGTCCCTCTTGCGGCGCACAGTAAAGTCTACCCTAAAAGGGGAGAAGGTGCGGCGGAGGAAGCTCCCTCTCCCACCATCGGTGCTGAGATAGGCCAGAGCAGCTGGCACCGAAGCAGCGGCATGGCTCGGGTGACTCGCCCGTCGGAGGGTCAAACTTCCCGGCTCAAGGGAGTGGGAGAAGGGTTCAAGCTCAAACTCCAGGAAACCCTACTTCCTTTCCTACTCCCGCCAAGAGTGTGCCCTAGTTTTCCTTCTTAGGTGGGTTGCTCATGGATCCCCCAAACCTAGGACTTGGGGTCCGAGAGACCGCCTTAGGTCCCCCCACACTATCTCCCCCGGGGAGATGTTGGTCCCGGGCTTCGGTCAGGTAGGGAAACCTCGCCTTCCCCGCCGCCCGAGGGCGTGCTCAGGGGCAGCCTCCGCGCCAGTCTCCGGTCGGCCAGTCTGGGGGCGCGGGAGCCGGGGCGGGGGTCCGCAGGAGTCCCGGGATCCCGCTCCGTTCCGAGCGCGCTGCGGTTCCGCTCCGGACCGCGCATCCACCCGCCTGGCGAGCAGAGGCTCCGCGCGGTGCGCCCCCGGGTGTGTGCGTTCGCCGGTGCCGCGGCGGAGCGCGGGGGAAGCGGGCCGGGACCCCTCCCCGCCCCCCAGCGCCGCCCCCGGCCCCACGCCCCTTACTCGGCTTGGCTGCTGCGCTGCGCTCGGTGCGCCGCAGTGCTGGCTCCAGCTTCGGCTCCAGCTCGGGTTCCCGCTCTGGCTCCGGCTCCCGCTCCGGCTCCCACTCGGATGCCGCCGCTCTCGGGCTCGGGCTCGGGCTCGGGCTCCGGCTCCGGCGTCGCGGGGGGCGCGCCGCTCCTCCTCGGCCCGCTCGGTGCTCAGGGGCGGGGCGGGCCAGGCGGCGCGGGGTCGGGCCGAGCAGAGCTGACCCGCCGCCCGCGATCCCGGCCCAGGAGGCGGCGGCGGCCGCCCAGGACCCGGTCCCGGCCCTGCCCTGCCGCAGCCCCGCCCGGCCGCCCGTCGTCCCCGCGCCGCCGCCCACGCCACCGTCACCCGCTCGAGTCCCCCTCGGCGGTGGCGCGGCTCGCGGGCCTCAGCACCGCTGCGCCGCGGCCCGGGTCATTCCTGAGATGGGGGACGCGGGGGAGGGGGGAGGGCCGAGCCGCGCCCCTCTGCGCACAGCCAGCCCGACACCCACACAGCGGCAGGCGGGGCAGGGCGGCTGGGAGGCCTGGAGATGCAGGGAGGCCGGCGCGCCAGCCAGACGTGAGAAGGGAAGAACAGACCTAGAGACGGGGACAGAGGACAGATATACAGACACGTGCAGGAAAGTGTGGACCGGCCATACCCCAGTGAAGAACGTAGCCAGGCACAGGCTGGGCACTTGGGCAGGGAAACCCTGTCACAGGCGAAGAGCAAAGGGCAGAATGGAGGGGTGAGGGGGCAGGAGGGACACAGCATGGCCTGTCCATTGGGAGGGGCCCTAGGAAGGAATCCTGTTCCCAGATGCCTGCAGGGGAGTTCTGGGATGCCAGGGCGTCACCTAGGCCAGGCCGAGGCCTCCACTCAGAGTGATGAGCTGGCCTATTTCCTGTGCAGCCCACCCACTCTATGCCCTCTGCCCTGGAAGGTCAGCCCTGGCAGATGCAAGCCTGTCCCCCGAGCCTCCAGCAACTGTTCTGTCGGTGCCCTACTTTGGGGCCTTGGACAAATCCCAGCCCATCCCCCAGGACTCCTTTTCTTCATTAACCCCATTTATTGCATCCTTGCTATGTTGGGGTGCTTCATAGTTACTTATGGAATCCTTTTAAATCTCCACTTGCCTGGGAGCCTCCTAAGGGCAGCATCTGGGTGGAGCTGCAGGGGTCTGAACACAGGGTGCCCTCCTAAATTTGATGAATGAATTGATGAGATGCATTGTTGCCAGCCCTGTCCTAACCCTGCATTTTATTGATAAAGGAACTGGAGCTTGAAGAGGCCCGGGGATTGGAAGCCAGGTTTGTTTCACAACCCAAAGGTCAGCCACTGCTGGGAAGTGTTTTTCAAAAATAAAACAGGCCAAAGAGCTGAGCCTGTCGATGCTAAACCCTGGGGAGGCAGAGGAGCCCTGGGGATGCTGTGGAAGGAAGTGAGCCATCCACAGGCTCTGCAGGGAGGGTGGGGGCAGAGCAGGCTTCCAGAAGAAACAAACCTCATTCTGCCCCAGCTCTGCCAGGCATCCAGGCTTGGGCTTCCCAGGGGAGGCAGGAGCAACGGGATGGTCTGGGGCCTCAGGGGTGAAGACCCTCTGGGCCTCCTTTGGCAAGCTCTTCATTCTGGCCTCTGCCTCTAGTACTGCTTCCCTCACCCCTCCCAGGACCCAGACTGGAGCATCCCAGCTCATCTGGGGCTGCCATGGGGGGAATCTCCAGGTGTAGGGGATGGGGCCAGAATGGAGGGAAGCTTCTCTCAGAGTCCCCAGAAAAGGGGCCTGGAGAAGCTTTTTGTCCAACCTATGCATTTATTTTGAATATTTACAAATAAAAACATCAGAGAAAAAAGAGCACAGGTCAAGGCCACAGAGGTAGGGTTAGAGGCTATAGATCTCCTAGGCCAAGGCTCTGCTCGATCTGCAAAGGTGACCTTGATCTCCCTGAGCAGAGACTAACTAATCCTCACAGGATGAGTACTCTAGTTATTCCTTTGGATTGGTATGTGTGTGTGTGTGTGTGTGTGTGTGTGTGTGTGTGTGTGTGTAGTGGGGGGTGGTATGGAATGGTTCACTTAGAGTGAGTCCTTACATCAGCCCTAAAAAGTTCATTCTCCTCCACTGAGTGCTTTAGTATCACTGATCTGCCAAGACCAGCCTATTCCTCAGTCCTAGAACTGTTTTCCCTGGGTCTATCCTTGGAAGTCGGATTATGGTTGTTTGCCTGCCTACCTACCTAGATTAATCTTTTTCTTTCTTTTATCTACTATCCATTCATCACAAATATATATTGTATAGGCCACTTGGAAAACTCCAAAGGAGAAAGAAGAAAATAGAATCCAGCCATCATTGAGCCCCTTCCTTCCTTCCTTTCTTTCCAACTCTACAAGTATCCTTAAATGGAGCGGCCTTGTTAACTATGACATTCCCTCTCTTACCTTACATTACATTTTGAGGCTATCTAGCTCTGTACCAGATGGTTCTACTATGTTTTATTTAACTAATCCCCTATTGCTGGGCATCTATTTTGTTTCTGTTTTCCATGCTTCTAGACACACTGCAGTGGACATCCTCATGGGTAAGTTTCTGCATGTCCCTGATTATCCTTTATGTCAGTGTTTATGTTCATATATTATTGAGGTGTTCTTCTGTACGGGTTTCCATTTGAAGGAAGGGCATCCTCTGAATACCAGACAAGCTCAGTGATTTCCAGTATCTTCTTGTTCAAGGGTCAATTAGGGAGGCTAGAGAGGGACCCTTTAGGAAATCATCTGGCAGTGCTGTGGTTTGAATATGTACCCCAAAGTTCATGTGTTGGAAACTTAATTCCAACTGTAATCATGTTGAAAGGTAAGACCTTTAAGAGATGAGTAGCCCATAAGGGCTCTGCCTCAGAGATCCATCAGTGCCATTATCAAGGGAGTGCTTATTGCCAGAATGGGTTCCTTGTAAAAGGAGGAGTTCAGTATCTCACTCTGCCACCCATGGGTGTCTTCTTCTACCATGTTATGATATAACAGGAAGGCCCTCGCCAGGCACTGCCCTTGATCTTGGTTTCCCAGCCTCCAAAACTATAAGCCACATACATTTTCTGTTTATTATAAATCACTAAATCTGTTGCATTCTCTTATAGTAGCATAAAATAAACTAAGATAGGTGACAAACCGGGACTTTGAGATGCCCTGAGAGGCCCCAAGTGCTAGGCTGTGGGGACTCGGCCTAGAGTGTGCTTTGTATTATTCCAGTTGCTCACAGGGAATCCCCAAGAATGTCCTTTCTGTTTGTAAATAAATGAGGGGTCCATGATGTCATTCATCCCAAACAGAATCCATGGGGTGGAGTTGTCGAGGGGCCTCCTGGGCCTGTCCAGCTTACCTCCCACCATCCTTCCTCCCTTCAGACATCTTGGTTTCACCACCTTGCCCCTGGGCCCAGTGATGGCCAACTTAACAGTATTTTCGTGGGGGCTAGGGATTGTTCCATACTAAGGGTGGGTGAGGGGAAGGAGGAAGGACTTCAGGGTGGCCTGGCCTGTGGATGGGATATCTGTCTAAAGAATCCATAAGGCATTTGGGGAAGATGTATCCCCCTTGCTGGTGTGTCCCTTTTACTGGAGGATGGTGACTGTCTTCCTAGTCTTGATTTACATTACAAAAGACTTGGTCTTCTCGGTTACCTTGATCTTGGGGGTGGGGGACAGGAAGGCAGGAAAGTCTACCCCACCAGCTTTGTGACGATTCTTCCTCTTTCCACCTGATTTTTACCGAAGGTGCCCTGGAGCATGTCCTGGTGGTGCTGAGTGGAAGAGACCTTGCTTGGAGGGAGGTGGTGAGGATGGGGAACAGGCACAAGCTAAAGTGCACGAGCTGAAGCAGAATGAGGAAACTTGGGACAGAGAAAGATGCATAGTCCTAAAGCCCTCCTGTCTGCTGAGAGCTTGGAGGGATTTGTGCTTTCGCTTCCATGTTACAGATGATGAGAAATCCCTCAGGATTTAAGCGACTCTCTAGAGATGTAGTGGCTAAGTAGTGCCAGGTATAAGATTAGGATTCTTTTAAAAATAGGCCAAAGAGATTACCAGGTGTCCTTTTAACTGCATATTAGGTATCTTTTTTTTTTTGTGGGGGTTTGTTCCTGTCATGATCTCTGAGCTATCTTATGATTCTGTACATTCTAGAAAACCGGTCATAACACTAACAAAATAGTTAGTCCATTGAAATGCAAATGCAGTTTTTCAGGTATATGCCAGTAGACAGCTTGTGGGGAGAGGAGGGGCTTCCAGTGTCCACATGTGCCCGCTCTTTGGAGTCCCCTTTGAATTGTGTACATCTTACTGGTTCCCTCATTCGTAAGTTAATTCAAATCCTGGACATGAATGTATTGTATGACATTCATGATTGTGTCCTGTAAAAAGTTTATCCCTTGACAGTAGAAAGCTTGAAATTTCATCTTGGGCCTGTCTTCCATCACAGATTGGTCCTTTGTTGGAGGTCTGAGRGCCTTGGGATCTCAGGAGAGAGGGAGGGACATGAGTGGGATGGGTCAATTCTAAATGCCTTTCTGGAACAGGGGAGGCAGAGAGTACAGAACATTTTCAGGGTGAAACCTGATGAGGAACTGGGCAGCACAGACAACTGTTGGAAAATGAGAGTAATAAAAATCAAAGTGTCCCCAGGGATCGCTGAGAGGGAGGAGTGAAATACTGCACACCAGGGTTTAGAACAACAGTTCTTGACACCCAGTAAAGTCTCAATGAACATTGCCTACAAATGTTGAATGTGTACTTGTGAAAGAGCAAAGAGAAACATTTTTTTTTTCTTATGGCTTTTCTATTTGTTTTTTTTTTTTTGTTTTGTTTTTTTTGTTTTTTTTTTTTTTTTTTGCTCTTCTTGCCACACGGCTGAGAGCTCTTTAGTCACAAAAATAGATTCCAGTGTTCAAAATACTGTCAGCTGCCAGAGGCTACATTGGAGTCTAATTTAAAAGTTTAGGAAATAATACTGGCATCTCCTGAACTCAAGCACTTAAACAAAAATTTTTTTTTTCAGAGTTAACTCAGATAAAAATACCATGTGCAATCTATGATACTATTTATTTTCCCAGCCAAGAATGGATGGACCTGCCC